CTTAACCAACTGAGCCACCCAGGCACCCTGGTGGTGAGAACATTTAACATGAGATCTATTCTCTTGGCAAATTTTTAAGTGTACAACACAAAATTGTTAACTGTAAGTACAATGTTGTATAGCAGATCTCTAGAACTCATTCATGTTGCTTAACTGAAACTTTATGCGCATTGATTAGCAATTCCCCATTCCCCCTCCCCCCAGCCTCTGGCAACTACCATTCTATTCCTTGACTATATGTATTTTAGCACGCTCATTGTTCAATGCAGCATTATTCATAATAGCCAAGGTATGGAAACCTCCTAAGTGACCATCTACAGATGAATGGATAAAGAAAATATGGTATATACATACAATGGAATATTCTTCAGCCTTAAAAAATAACTGAATTCTGTAATGTGAGACAACATGGATGAACCTTGGGGACATTATGCTGAGTGAAATATGCCAGTCTCAGAAGAGAGAACACTACATGATTCCACTTATAAGAGGTATCTAAGATAGTCAAATACTTGGAGCGAAACCATTTTCATCTGTTCTAGGAAAAGAAGACTTATGTCCTTCTGATCCCATGCCAGTGTCTGATTCCAGTTGATAACACCTTCATGCCATGTGTGCCGCTCACAGGACCAGAGGGAGCTGAGAAGCTTGACGAATATCAAGAGTTAAAGGAATGTACATAGGTAGATGTGGCTGGTTTGTTCATGTGTACAAGGAACAGCATATAGGAAATAGTTGTTTCCTATTGGAATAATGCTAAAAAAAACAGGTCCCTGTCCTGCAAGCACTTATTCACATAAAGTATTTGTCTAACAAAACTTAAAACTTGAAAACTCTTTAAATCTATTTTTGAGGACCCACAAAACGCATGTAAATTTAAAACTGGAGTTGTAATTTGTTATTCCACACCCCAAGTGAAACAGCTTTGCATGCAAGAGAGGAAGCTGAACATCCCCCTGGGGGTATGTGTGGATTAGTGCTTCTTTCCTATTGGGAAGTAGAGCAGGATGGTTAGGAGTGAAGGCCCCAGAACCACCATGTGGGGTTTCCAATCCCAGCTCTGTCACCTACCAGCTGTGTGACCTTGGGCAAACTACACAGACTTTATTTGCTTTAGTTTCCTCATTTTTAAATTGGAAGACAACAATAATGCCAACCTCATAGGGATGTTGTGTGGATTATGTGAGTTAATAAATGGAAAGTGTTTAGAATAGTGCTCAGTACATTGTGAGCACAGTAACCATTACTATTATTACCTGCCCTGAGAAACATCGGTGTGAATGCTACTCAAGGAATGAAAATCTTGTAAAGTTATTCAAGGCCAAAATCCTTTGCAAACTTCTCCCCCCTCCCCGTCCACATTGTAAACATAATAGCAATGCGTGTTTAACTATACACCGACCATTCTGCCTTGCCGGGATCCTAGTGAGGTGGTACAGTAGGCATGTCACTTATTTTTTCACTTGATCCTTACAACCATCTTACCACGTAGGGACTATTATCTCCAGTTTATGACAACTGAAGGCTTACTGAGGTTAATTATCTTGTCTAAGCTCACATTTAATGAAGTGGTGGATGTGGGCGGGGAACCTGGTTTTTATGACTCAAGAGTCCATGTTGAGACAGATTTTCATGGAACACTACATCAAAAACGAAGGATGTAACGTATGGTGATTAACATAACGATAAAAAATTTTAAAAAATAAATAAAATTATCTTGAGTTTCAGTTATTTACTTATTATTTGCATTTCCCGATTAGAATATCAGGTCTAAGAAGGTGGAGACCTTGTCTGTTTTGTTCACTGGGATCTCTAGTGTTTCACAGTGTTTAGTGCTTAACGGCTGCCCACTGAATATGTACTGAGTGAGCGTGTCGTACGCGTGCGCCCGATGTAGAGCGATCGCGGTGTCCTACAGCCGAGTGGTTAATGAAGAGTGTGGGCTCCGGAGTCAGGCTGGATTCGAATCTTCGCTCTAACACTTGCCTGCTGTGTGACCTTAGGCAAGTTACTTAAGCTCTTTATGCTTTAATTTTCTCACTTCTAAAATGCTAATAATAAAAATGTATAAGTAAGATGAAGATGAAGTAAGCCTTTTGTATAACAATGAGGTTCAACATATGACTACCTGATATTATTAGAGTATTTCTCAATTGTAAGAAGCCTTTGTCAGAGACTGTAAAATGCACCACTGACTTCCTATTAGCTCTCATGAAGAAAATCAAAACCAAATACGACATTAAACGCACACAACTCTAAAAAATCTAATTTATAACATCATACATTTTTTCTCTACAAATACATGCTGTTTCCTTTTTCAGAATGACAATCACACCTGGGGTCGAAAATGCCTATCAAGTACGGCAGTTACATGTAATGTAATGGTAACCCCTGCTGCTGATCTGGACCTTGTTAGCACCTTTGTGATGCTGCAGAATCATTTAAACACATGTCAAAGAATATTGTGGGTTATGTGGGGTTTTGTTAGTTTGTTTGCATTTCCCTTTTGGCTACATTGTGTTGTTGCTGCTGATATAAGTAACTATAAGTAAAGAGCTTTTCTGGGAAGTAGCTGGAAGCTTGTGACAGATTTGGACATCTGAATGATAGTTATTGACACATCAATGGGTCCCAACAATTGAAACAATTGTAATCGGTTCTCAAAATGTTGGTAATATTTACTGCTTTCAATCACAGCATACAGTGTATGGTTATTAATTTTGTACACACAATTTTTTTCTACGTTGCATTCTAGTGGAATCTTTAAAAAGACCGCTTAACTGATCACTGTGATGTGAACTGAAGTTTTCCAGCTGCCTGTATACCTGAAACTGATATAACACTGTAGGTTAGCTGTACTGGAATTAAAATTTAAAAATAATAAAAATAAATAAATTTACCACCTACCAGCACAAATAACTTCCCAGAAGTAACAGGCCGATGAACTGATCCATCCCCACATCTTATTCATTTCTCCAATGCACAGGCAGTGCAAACTGTGAGTAAATGCCATCCTCACATTCCCTTCCTCTCGCCTTCTCAAGCCCGGCTGCGCATGAGAATCATGTGGGCAACTTAAAAAAAATCCCACGTTCTCAGGCCGAATCCCAGGCCAATTAACTGAGTAGCCTGGTATCACTATTTCTAAGGCTCTTCAGATGATTTCACTGGGCAGTGGGAGGCTGAGAAGCACCTGCCGTACCAGCGGCTGGTGAGTTTCTTTTGACGCATGTGAGATGTGTCTTCATTGCAGAGATGTTAAGGTTTGGGAAAAAAAAACAAAAACAAAAACAAAACCATAACAAAAAATCTTTGTATCAGAGAAAGAAGAAAATAGGGTATTATTTTGTTATTATTAGCCTAGCCCCAGGAAGCTTCAGACTACGAAAAATATCATATTGGGTCAGACCCATTTTGTGGAATAATGAACATCCCTTTGTTGTCCTTAAGAGCACCTTTGATATTTCCTACTAGGAAGGTGTCCCAGTGATTATGCTTCCTTTAGTTACTGCCGAAGCCCTGACAAGAGGCTTAAGGATGAAGCCTGACACCTGAGACCTCTGAAGAAAAAGAAAGCACGTGTGGAATGCATCTGACGCTCCTTGTCAATGAGCCTGCACCTGTATCTTGTTCTCTCTTGTCCCCTTGGAGCCCCTGATTTGGAACCCCAAATGCTCCAGGACTGGCCTTCCGAACTTCATCTGATCCAATGGGATCCTCTCTCTACCCATTCCCAAGGCATGGAGGACAGATCTCAGATTCTCTTAACTTCGAGGAAGAGTCCTTGGATGTCAGACAAGCAGCTTACACGCACTGTGTGTATTGCAGGTGGTAACTGCACTACGTTTCAATACTTGATCTTAGTTGAAATCTTGAAGACATGGAATTTAATAATGGCCTGGAGTTTTGGGTGATCCTCATAAGTCTCTAAGATTGACTGATTGCTTTCTGATAGATATGTGTGATTTTTTTCCTGCAGATCTATCAGGTCTGAGTAAGCCCATCGCTATACTTAGATATTAAAGTTTGCATATTTGCAAAGGCTATTGTATTGCCAACCATGAAACCAGCCTCACAAGAAGCTGCAATTAACCTTCACCTGCTCATCATTTTCAGCCTGCCAACCGATAAGACTGGAGACTTATTCACATCAGACAGCCACACTGCCCATCAGGCAGTTAGGAATATATATTGAGTGGAGTGTTCTTTTCACAGATCCTATGTGGAAATCAGCATTAAAGGAAGCATTAGGATCCTCATTTACCTCAGATAACTTGCTCATTATAAACTCATTAGCTACTAGGTTGAAAATACTGTCCAGAAACAGAGTGTAGAGTAGTTCATCTTTAATACCTTAATCTTTCCTAAAAAGTAGTTTGTTAGATGATGGCATAACAATAGATCAATACAGCCAATAAATCTATAGTACTAGAAGTAG